CAGACAGAACGCCCGGCCGTCGACAGTCCTCACGACCGAGAGGTTAGCTCGTCTTTTTCAGTGACGATTAAGAGATCGAGAGCGGAAAAGACAACCATAGTATACTGCTTCTGTTCAAAGAGGTAGACAGAACGGCCCGGCAGTCGAAAGTCCTTACGACAGAGAGGCTCGTATTTTTCAGCGAACATTACGAGATGGAGAGGGGGACCAGGCAGGGCAACGTCGGGCTACACATTACCGTTCCGTTGCTACTTTCTTCTGGTAGTTTCACTACTTGTTACTTCCCGAAACATTTTACCTGTAGGTAATTGGCGTTCGTTCGAGCGGATTTATATCTTTCAGTCACGAATTCGGCTTCTGCGACCGGTCGGCCACGCTTTGCCCAAATCGACACACCTTTCATCCTGTCACACGCGCGCAAGTGTGCCAACGGAGGGTGGGCGGGGTCAGTCCAGGCTACAATGGCAGCGCCGACAACGGGGAGTTCGATCGCGCTCTTCACTACGCGCCCTGCTTCAGCTTGGAACTCCAAGCAAGCCCGAGTAAAGAAAAGCTATAACCAAGGTAGAGATGTCTTTGTGTGGCTGCCCATCGGGTTTGGCAATCTCTCTGATACGAGGTTTTGCCGTCCGTGATGGACCACAAGCTGAGCATGATCGATAGTTGTGCCAAGTCGAGCCTTGTTCTGGTAGTATCTCCACTCATAGCGCTCATGACAGATCAAGTCTGTAGCATATACGCAAATGAGGAGTGAAGGAAACAGTCATTAGCAGTGGTAGCCACGTACACACACAGGAGCAGGGATGATAAGATTTAGCATTTGCACTGACATAATATCAGCCCATTCTAATCTTGTCCTGACATCCACAAATCTTGTCCTGACATCTAGATGTATGTAGCTATGCTATAATTGGCGAGCGGGAGCGACCTAACCTAGTGGCGCGGATTACCGTACGTCGTCCAACTGCACATGCTCCAGGATTACGCGCTTCTTAGGATTTGTAAATTTCACATGCTGCCTGCCTGTCGTAGTGTTGTGCGTATACATGTACGTGCGATATTATACGCTTGTGTGTAGCTTCGTACTCTCGCAATCATGGAAGGATCAGTCCAGAGAAGATGCCCTTCGTCGTCGAAGAGAGAAGGAGAACGTCGTGCCCGTGAGACGAGAGGGGCTCGTCTGTATCAGCGTCGCTTGCGTGATGGGGAACGCGCTTATTTTCACACGCGGCCTAGCTGTAGTAGTAATTCTCACACTCGTTCTCCTTGGCGGGATCATAAATCCTGTGGTTGGGAAGAATGGGTCTGTCATATCGATGCCAGCGAAAGAACTCTCGTCTCTTTGCTGGGATTCGCTGCGCTCTTGAACGAGGCTGTAAGCTTATATACCTCTTTCCAATCTTCGTGGTTCTAAGGTTCAAGTTGTAAATAGGCTAGGATGACTCGTGCAGATACAGTCATTGTGTGCTCGCTCCCGCTCGCCAAGAATGCCCTGCATTCGCCTACTAGTATGTATCAAGCAGTTTCAGGCTTTGCGCGCATGCACACACACGTGCAAGTATAGTGGGTGGGGCTGGTGTGTACGTACGTGCGCGCGCGCAGCCCACCGCATGGTAGGCAGCGTGCACGCGGTACGGAGATGGCTAGGCTCTGTTCAGCAGCGTCGCATGCGATGATTGATTCTAACTAAGCGAGAGTGCGCTGATCGGGCGGGGCCCAGACAAAATGTCCGCGCAAACGTGTAATTGCCCGGAAAACCACAAAATTAACCGGAAATTGTCCGATGGCTGGCAGTTATCATAAGCTCTGAAGAGCCAGTAACATTTTCCATACTCCACTAGCCATTATTTGCAGAAGGTTATCCAGGCACAGATGGGCGGTGCCGCACCATTTTTAGCGTCCGCAAACAAATCTGCTGAGTGCGGAACTCTAGATCTGTGCCGCCGACTCGCCGCGCTACGCGCCTGGCGCCTGGAGCTTTTGCTTGAACGCGGTGGTAAGGATAATTCAAAATACACAGAAGAGCAGTTCAGCGACAAACAGAATAGCAGGTTTTACACTTGTACTTATATAATCTTGTGTGTTGTCTTCTTGCATTATGCTGGTAGCACATGTGACGTGCACCCATGTCAACAGGGGTGCCGATTTGGCGCTATGGAAAATCACAGCGTCGATGGGTGAATTTCAGGCGTCAGCTTTTCCAGTTTCTGGCCTGGTGAGGTTCCTGCTCTGGCAACGCCGTATCGACCTTCGACTACCGCGCTACTGCCACCGCCCACAAAGAAAGTGCACACGCATGCGCAAAATGTATGACTAAAGTTAGTTCATCGCAGTGCTTATAATTGGTGCGGCGCCAAGCCAATACATTGTCTCTGTCATTTTTACCCTCGGCGCGCATGCGCAGCGAGGGTACTGTAGTTGGGTTTGTCTGTCCGTCTGTCTGTCTGTCTGTCTGTTACTCTCAATCTCACTTCTCGAATGTCTGTTCGTCCCAGAAACGATACAATCTACCCAACGGGCGACGAAGGTCAGAAAATAAAGGCGGTTTTCTCTGAAAATGCTCCGTTGCAAAGCTAGAGCGCTTCCGGCATTCTGCGGCTAATGCGTAGTCGGCCATTTTTATCGCTGCGGAAAACGCGCATGCGCTTATATACCTCGACCGAGTCCGCTTGCTCTGTGTATCTTTAAGGCACAAGAAGTCACAACGAAGGGCGTGTATCTACTACTGTAGCTAGCTAGCCCGTGTCAGACTCTCTGCGAGCTACTAGCGGGAGACCACGAGTAAACGCATACTAATAGCAGCCCAGCCCATCAATTAGCGGTACCGCGCATTCCCAGTTCGCCGAGGGTTTGCACTTTAGTGCTTTTCATTGGGTCTGTCTGTCTGTCTGTCTGTCTGTTTGTCTGTTTGTCTGTTACTCTACATCTCACTCCTCGAACTTCTGTTCGTCCTATAAACGGTACCATCTACCCAACGGGCGACGAACGTCAGAAAATAAAGGCGGTTTTCTCTGAAAATGCGCCGTTGCAAAGCTAGAGCGCTAATATGCAAATACGCAACGGACGGAATGGGTTACCGCGGTCGTGCTCTGCGTACCTGGTAGGCACAAGAAGATGCAACGCAGGGCGTGTATCGCCTATCGCATGCTATCTAGTAGTGTAGTTAGCCCGCGTCAGACTCTGCGCGAGCTGGCAAGAGACCACGAGTAACAGCGAAAACTAAACCCAGCCCATCAATTATTAGTGGTACGGCGCATGCGTTTACTTACGCGTGCGCGCATCACAGTGCGCCGAGGGTTTGCACTTCAGTGCTTTTCATTAAGTTTCAGCAACCCCGAATTGTCACATGAACAACACTGCACCCAATCCACATACTCTTCTGTTGTATCATCATTTTGTTTAAAAACAAACACCACAACATGTTGTTTTATGACTATTATATTATAACGAGATGCTGTCTGCCTTTAGTCATTTGTGAGGGTATACTCAGTCTAGATCTTACTTTACTCTGTTTTTTAGTTTTGAAGAAGCGTGGTTGTTTTTCAAAATTTTATTTGGGCCAATTTTTCATTCATAGTGCTTTTATTGCCATTATTGCAGATGTGAGGTGTTTTGATGCAACATTAATTTTAATGTGTCAATACTTTGACAGTTTCTTGTCAAAACACTTAATTCGTTCAGCTTTTGATGAAGCCCTTGATGCACTTTTTTTAAGTTCACAGTTCACATTCTTTAAGATCATCCTCCAGTATGCTTGAGAAATACTCCAAATTAGTAGTATTCTGATCCTTCGTTTTGCTGTTGACACTTTGTCTGTTATATACGGTTTTCACCAAATACACATGTTTACACACGGTTGCATGGAGTAGAGAGTCCATGCCCGTAGCTACAAGAATACAAGTGTATGCACACCATACAAGTTGAACAGCATAGCCTGCAAATGCATGTCTTGTTAATTAATTTCACTACATAATTCACAGAAGGATTTGTTTCTGAGGAACAATCCATGTATTGTCATCTCTTTGGGAGCTTTGTTGCTGACCAATGGAGCTTGTTTATTTAAGATAGCTACTGTGAGTAAACTTTCCCTTCTCGACTTTAGTTAGCTCGTCAAAAACTCTGTGTTTTAGCTATTTTTAGAAGTGTATGGAGAAGAAAGTCAATCCTGTTTTGTTTCTGCTGTAAATAGACAACCTTAAGTGTCCTATGGAATGATTCTAGGAACCTGTTAGTATTTACTATCGTTCTAGCACGAAAGCAAGAGGTCCATTGCTCTATTCGGTTGCAGTAATACTGCTTAAAGTATTTAGAACATCGGTTCTCTGTTGAATCTAAGGAAGAAACCAATTGTTGTAGGAGATATCTAAACTTCCTTTCTTCGTTTGCCATTAATATTGATGGTATACCTCCACTCTCTTCTCTTTGCTGCTGATATTTTCATTTAGTGCAGCACGCCAGGCACGATCAACATGCCATGCACACAACAGTTTTTTTGCACCTTTGGTCTCAAACACCCCACTCCATGCATTGTGTAATACTGCTGAGCATCATCCGTCATAAACCATTGTGGGTTAATTGACCCTGATCTTGCTTAGCTTTTAAAAGTTCCACTAATTAAGTCACATCTTCCTTGTTCGATATTTCCCAGGCAACTGGTATTCCTCGCCAAATTCATCAATTACTAAAATTGTTATGAGATTTAAGTCGTACATATTTGTACCATGTGTTGAATCCATGCAAACACACAAGTGGGCATTTTTGACTAGCATGTCTCTCTGAAACTGCGTTTGAATCCTCAGTAGAAAATCATCCTTGCCAACATTATCCATGTTTTCAGGTTGCTGTTTACCCTGAGGCTTGAATACTACTATTGGGTTGTATGGTAAAGTTTCTAGTTCTTTTATCCAGGCACATACACTCATGTGATCATTGACGTGTCGCATTACCCCCTCAATATTAAATTGATTTTTAATGTTATGTATGTCTTGCTTTGTTACCAGGTGCTCCCTTGTAATACCAGATGAGATAGTATCACGAACATTGTCCATTATTCTTTGGATTGTCACACCCTGCTGTAGCTGTGCTGCTATTTTCATGTGTGTTCAAGTGTTCCATGCTAACTTCATGATTATGGTGTGTGCTACAGTAATGAACAATTACCTCACCTGTATCAACATCTTTTATTGCTTTAACATGAGCTATACACCTTTCTCCTAACTTGCAAGAACCTTGCCCTTTTGTATGTCTGATACCTTTTGTTTTTACGCAGTTTCCTGAGCGATTGCAGTAGTAGTACCAGTGCTGCTTTGCTGCATAGATTTGAGGAGCACGCTGTTGAATGTAGTTAACCCTCGGCACTCATGCGCAGCGAGGGTTACAGTACTTGGGTCTGTCTGTCTGTCTGTCTGTCCTTCTGTGTGTCTGTTACTCAACTTCTCACTTCTCCAATGTTTTTTCGTCTCACAAACGATACTACCTACTTAACAGGCAATGAAGGGCAGAAATTTTGTGGCGATTTTCCTGAAACGACTGAGATATGCCGCGAAAACAAGCGAAAAAGCCAACTGCCTAATCTCACTGGGCTTACCGCGACCTGATCTGCTCGCTCTGTGTACCTTGGGGGCTCAAGTCAAGAGTTGTGGAGTGATTAGGGCGGAACCCAAACTGGGATGAAGAAATGGAGGCAGATGATTAGGAACTAGCTATTAGGAACTAGCTATTGACATGGAATTATACTTACATTCCGATACCATTTGCTAACTCCATCAAATCCAGTTGTCTCACGTTTTTCAATGAACTGTGATCCTAGCTAGTTCTAAGATTTTTTTGATCTTTTTTAGATCCGTTTTACCTCAGTTGCTTCACGTCTGATTAACTCCATATACACATGAATGATCTGTAAAATTGTCACATTCTAAGTGTTGGTCTTGTCTTCTGCACTTACCTCATCTGTGCATTGTTGAAGGGAGAGTGCAGGGATATTCTCATCTGCAATGGGACAGACTGTATCTGGTAGAATGCTGAGTTTATTCCTACCACAGAGCTCATTAAGAAGCAGGACTGCACCTTGATGAAGAACATCACTAATGCTTACAACTGATACCTGCATGTAATAACGTTTATAACATGTACTCACAACCACTGATTCTTTGTTTACCGTTGAGTCATTGGCTTGAAACAAGTTGTTTATGCATGGGTCCATAAAGTAGCATACATGACCTCCACGTGTCAATTGCATGTGCTTAATTGCACCAACCAACCTGTAACAGCTCCTGTTTCTCAAATCACGAATTTAATATGCATTGCTTAATCAAAATTAAAAACACTGAAGTGCAAACCCTCGGCGAACTGCGCACGCGCAGTACCACTAATTGATGGGTTGGGCTTTTAGTATGCGCGGTATCCACGCTAGTAGCTCGCGGAGAGTCTGACACGGACTAGCAACAGTAGTAGATAGCATGCGGGAGTCGATACACGCCCTTCGTTGTGACTTCTTATGCCTTCAAGATACACAGAGCAAGCGGCACGGTCGATTGTTACTCTATAAGCGCATGCACATTTTCCGCAGCGATACAAATGGCATTAGCCGTACAGTGGTGGAAGCGCTCTAGCTTTGCAACGGAGCATTTTCAGGGAAAACTGTTCGATATTTCTGACCTTTATTGCCCGTTTAGTAGGTGGTATCCTTTGTGTGACGAACGAACACTCGAGAAGTGAGATGACGAGTAACAGACAGACAGACACACAGACACACTCACCCAACTACAGTACCCTCGCTGCGCATGCGCGCCGAGGGTAACAATGACTGAGGAGCGATCGTCCAAGGTCAAGCACGCGGAATCTAGCGGATGCTGCAAACGACATAAGCACGTGCGCGATGGATCGCTCGCTCCGGCAAAACGATACACCCACATACGCGCCTGCGCGATGAATCGCTCGCGTAAGCTTTTTCGCTTGTTTTCACGCCATATCTCGGGAACGCAGTCGTTTCGGGAAAATCGCCACATTACTATCAATCTTCTCGTCGTTCACAATCCGTTGGTGCCACTCATTGGCCGCCTCGTAGCCTGTAGTGCTAGAACTCGCGCGGACAGAGACAGACGGACAGACAGACAGAACGACTACTGTAACCCTCGCTTCGCATGCGCACCGAGGGTTAATAATTGCTTTTACGTGAATGCTTGGATATCCAAGCCTGCAAAGGTGTGTAGTGAGTGCATCTTGAGGTCATGCAAATATGCTGTGGCCATGCAGCTATGCAATATTGTTTTGTGGGATGGTCAGTGAGTTACATGCAGGTGGACAGGCTATTGCCAGTTCTTGTTACATGGATAAAGAGGTTGTGAGGTGTTGACATTGGTACATGTTGTGGATGAATTACCACCTTTTTGCAACTGTTATAAACATAAGTGTGCTAATTTTAATAATAGCTTGTCTGAGCTAACCTTGAGCAATGTATATGTATATATAATATACATATACATACAATATATATATATTCGTGATTATAAAGTCCGCGTGGGAGGCTGGAATGACGCAATGGTAACCGAGGCGGAGCCGAGGTTTCTTTGCGTCATTCAGCCGACCACGCGGGCTGCAGAACCACGAAGACACTGGAAAATGGATAGCCGTACGGTTGGCTGTAGCTCGTCCGCGTCCGCGTTCAACCTTGGTTGGGAGCAGCTCTTTGAAGAAAGCACCGCGGAGGAGAGTTCTCCCAAACCGATACCGGGCGCAATCCACGATTGCGTCGATGCTGGTAAATACTGACTATTAGCGGCGGCGTCTCAACTCTTCGACGTTAGCCCGGCAGGGGAGAGGCCTCCCGATTCCACACTGGGTACTGGGCACTGTCGAAGACTTCGTCGACGATGACTGAGAATCACTGTTATTAGCAGCATCGCAACTGTTCGAGTCAGGGCGATGTCTCAGCTCGCTTCTGGACGCCCCGGTCTGCGCGTACTGTAAACGGGAGGGTCTTAGTTAGAAGTAAGCCACCTAACCGCAGGTATCTTAGACCTGCGTGTAAGTGTCTTACCCCAAAATGAACCTCATTAGCTATTCATTTTCAACGCATTCTTGACATACCATTTTCTTACTTTGAGTTATTCCTCGTTAAAACTGTCCATCACCAACTTGTTTATGTTTGTTTCACATGGCGCCTACAGTTTTTTCCTTTCGAATCATCATAATTACATTGTAGATGACTTACATTAACATTATTTCCAGGAATATAATATCTTCAACACGTGTGCTGTTATTGTAAGTGCAGTGGCTGCAACGAACACTATAATACATCATCACTGTTTACAGTATCAAACACCATTAGCTACCTGTCTGTGTCAATTCTATGTAAGTATCCTTCTTGAATGAAGCTTCATCTCTTTAGAAAGTATAGTGCTATATATAATAATGGTATAATGCCCAACACATTTCCTCTTACTCTTATGGAATAATTCTGAAGAAGAGATCAAACAAAAAAACCATGCAACAAGTTGTTTGTGCATGGTCCCATAAAGTAGCATACGGAGCCCGCCCCCGCGCAGGCCCTCCAGCTAGCTAGCGCGTCGACGCCGTGCGTTTGGGGTTAATTTTTGTGTGGAAAACCTTCTGCAAATAATGGCTAGTACCGGCGGATCGCGGAGCGAGGGCGCGTGCGCGCGATCCTTATTCCTACATACGTCATTTGGTCTATACAACCCACGTGGAAAATTCTGCGCATGTGCAAGCAGTGGTTTACCGGACCCGCAGGTGGGGCTACCCAAGATCATACATTATGATATAGAATGCAAACTAGTAGGCGAATGCATGGCATTTTTGGCGAGCGGGAGCGAGCGTATCTGCACGAGCCTATTTACAACTTGAACCTTAGAACCACGAAGATTGGAAAGAGGTATAATACAGCCTCGGTCAGGTATCGAAGAGTGCAGCGAATAGACGCGAGCGTTCTTTCGCTGGCTAGATTTCGCTTCGGTATGACAGCTAGGCAGCGTGTATTAAAGAAAAAGCGCGTCTATCACGCAAGCGACGCTGATACTACTGTTATTATTATTATTATCACATGCCACAAAAAAGAAAGAAGAGATGATGAAATAAGATGGGGATAAAGACATGATAGTTTAAAAATAAGCTCTTCAAATGGCGATACAGGACCAAAAACATAACGGATAGAACGAATAATTTTGGCAACATTAATTGTAACATGATCAGTAGCTATACGTTTCGTTTTGTAAGAGTAAATGACCAAACATGAAATTATGTCCAACAAAGGTATAAGCTAAAAAACACGAGTCATGAAATATAGCTAATTTGACATAAGGCCAGAATTACAAAATTTCATACATGTGCCATAAATTTTTCGAAGTATGTTTGTAGTTTTAGCGACACAGTGTACTATGGAAACATGACAACGGGAGGGCAAGTGGCAAACTTTTCGCATGATCTTGTTCAGAGCAGTTTGAAGAGAATAATTATAATTATACTCTTTGACCCTGAATGCCAAAGGCAACAATCATAAAGGGCGAGACAAAACTTAACAAGAAAACATATGACATAACTATCAGCAAAATAGAAAGTACAGAGAGAACAATTAGCTTTTTGGTTCAGATCTTTGAGTGCACGGGTTACATCGGTTCCATCGTTTAGGTCAAAGGATAGCGACTTCATTCTTATATGGAAGAGCAGTATTGTTGAATGTGCTCAGTGGTAAAAAGCGACAGTTTTTTTCAAGAACGAAAACAAACAGGCTGATTTTTACAAGCATTGAACAACAAACCATGATCAAGAGCATATAAACTGCAAATATCCAACATCCGTCTAAGAGCAGAGCCAGGATAACAATATCATCTGCATAGCAGAGTGCTCCTGCAAACATGTGACCCCAATAAAACCAACACCAGAGTCTGATAACTCTTCCAACAAACCATCCAAGTAAACAGCAAATAAAGGACTCCACCCTGTCTGACACCATTTGAAAAACCGAAAGGTTCTGAAAACAATCACCCCAACGAACTCTCATCTCCTGTAAGCTATACCAATTTACCAAGAATGGAAGAATTGGAGTAGGCAAGCCCCTATGTTGTAACTATAATTGGCGAGCGGGAGCTACGTAGTGGTTCCAACGGCGCGATTTCCCCCTTTTATTGGGCGAGCGGAGCGAGCCCCCCAAGTTAAGTCAGGTGGAATTTTCGTCTGTCGTAGTTATGCGCATGCGCGGATATTACTGGGCCGGGTCCGGGGGTCAGTTCACGTCCAGCAAAATTCTGTTCGACGAGGTATATTATAGACAGACAGAACGCCTGGCCGTTGAAAGTCCTCACCACCGAGAGGTTAGCTCGTCTTTTTCAGTGACGATTACGATATCGAGAGCGGACAAGGCAACCATACTGGTAAGGTAAATGGGGGTAACTCCGGACGCGGAGGTAATTCCGGCGTTAGCTACACCGGCTTCGAAAATATTCGCTGCGAAAACGCGAGGATGATTTGTTAGCGCTTTGGTAGATAGTAATCAAGTGAAACATATCCGAATTTTTCTCTTGTTTCTGAATGTTATGTCCGGAGTTAACTCCGCGTCCGGAGTTACCCCCTACTGCTTTTGTCAAGAGGTAGACAGACGGCAGTCGAAAGGCCTCACGACAGAGAGGCCCGTCTTTTTCAGCAAGGATTACGAGATGGAGAGGGAGAGCGGGCAAGGCAACGTCGGGCTACACATTACCGTTCCGTTGCTACTTTCGTCTAGTAGTTTCACTGCAACAGGCCATAATAACTTGTTACTTGCTGAAACATTTTACCTGTAGGTTTCAAGCCATAATTGGCGAGCGGGAGCGAGCCAACCTAGTTGTTCTACTACTTACATCATGGTGGAACCAAGAGAAGTGCCTGTGGCTGTAGCCCTAGGCACTCTATATCCACCCACTGTACACGTTTTAGCACTTAGCTGCTTTTAAGCTGATAGTGACCTCAAAAGCGGATGATATAATTAGCAGCAGATACCGCCAACTCACGCCAGTTTCCCAGTAATGCAATTGAGGTTTCCGGCGTAGTAAAACAGCGGAAATTGACATTCAGTTTCCAGCCATTAGAAGTATGTGGGTGGTTTATGATAAGCGTATAAATACAGGTAGCAGGTAGTGTAGCTACCAGTGTATTTGCCAGCTTCGTTCTCGTCGTCCTGCTGACCGCACAAGAATTGGTTTGCTACGAAATTGTGTCAAGACGTGAAACGCTACCCGATGAAGACGATAGTATCTTTTCTACTGTTGAGTTTAGTATTCCCCGTAGACGTACTCTCGGAACCAGCTCCGTATTTCTTTTTCGGAAGCAAAACTCTTGCCAATAATTCCTACGTGAACGTCAGTCCAGTGGGGGACCACGACAGTGGCAGAAACAGCGTTCAATGTCGCACTGATGTTGGGACATGTTGCAGCGACACAGAGGGTAACTACCGCGCAGACTGGTATTTTCCCAACGGAACGAAAGTGAAATTCGTGGAATTTGGTGATGACATCTTTGAGTCTCGTGGAGCGCAGAGAGTTGACTTGCGCCGCAGGGAAAATGCCGTGTCTCTCACAGGGGGAATGTACCGCTGTGATATTCCTACCGCTAGAAATGGCAATCGAAGCATCTACGTTGGATTATATCCCTCCAGTGAAGGTAAGTTATTAACAGGTAAACAGAGATGAGCACTGAGTTGGCTGAGTTCTAAACCTCTATGTCACAACTACAGCTGTATAATGCTAAAAATTAACAAGATAGCTACCCAGTAATATCCAACATGCCTCTACAGGTAAGGTGAAAGTCAACAAACTTGTGAGATTTGACCCCGACAAGCTGACCCTTACTTGTATCTCCATTGGTGGACCTGCAACTACTGTCAATTGGACCAGAGACTCCACCAATGTAGTAGAAGGATACGTGACTGTACTGAATGATGCATCAACGGCAAATTACACCCATACTTTGTCAGTGACTAAGCCAGGAATGTATAGATGTAAAGTGTCTAATAACAAGCCATCATCTGCATCATCAGACTATATCACTCTAACAGGTACTTTACTTTGCGTCGGAAACCCTTGATGCTGTTTATACTGTATATACCTTCTCACTTTATGCAGAAACAAAGCCTCCGAATAAAGTGGCAGCATCTGCATTCCCAACAACCACACATCTATTCATGTTTGGAACCCATCCAGTGATGCCAAAGGCTACCTTATCCACTACAACAGTACTAGAGGAGACAGCAGTACTGCCATCATTACTGGGGGTTCCACTCAGAGTTTCACTCTCAGTAACCTTCAGAGCGGATATAACTATACAATATTTGTTGTAGCCACATCGGGGAACCTTCCCAGTGAAATGATCAGAGCTCCTGAGGATGTTACTCTAGGTTAGCCCTATAATAATTATAACTCGAGCATACACAAAATAATTCTATAGCTAGCCCTCGGGGGGAAAGCAAAATTTTTGTAAGCAGGGATGTTTTTTTGCCAGACCTGAATATTATATAATCAGTGCATGTGTAGCTAGAATATGACTCTTCACTGAGAATAACAATTAAAATATAATTGTAGTCATAGCGCTATCTATAAAGTTCACAGGTTTACCAACTGTTTGTATATATAGCTACGCAGGCTGTTAGACCTAATCACAGAACAAGAAGTGTTCTCACTGAAGGTCGATACACTCTCTATCCCTGTGTAGGATGTCCAGATGGTCCCGATAAAGTGTGGGATATTGTATGGCCCATCACAGCAGCTCAGACAAATGGCACCCAGACCTGCCCCCATGCCACTGGTAGGTGCCCATATTTATGCTAAGTGAAGTGTGCATGCATATTGTGTAATTGGGAATGTTGGCTACAACTCATGCAGGGAATGCAACTAGGGAGTGCTCTCTAACCGGTAGTTGGGGAGTTGCAAACGTCATGTCGTGCTTATCAGAGGAAATTGCTCTTGTTCAGAGGAGGTATGTCAAAGGAATAAGGTACACTGCCTCTTCATTCTTTGGTTTAACACACAACATTGATCCCTCAACAAGTGAAACAACCATCAGTTTTGCCTAAACATTTTACATGCATTCAATGTCGCACTGCTACTTCTTTTTTTAATACAAAAGCCTCATGTGTCATTATTATGGATGGTTCTTATTGATCTATGAGAGACTTGATTCTCTCACGCACTGACTCCTTTATTTTATGCCAACAGGCAAAATGCCTGGAGGATGTGAAGAACGATTACTCCAAATTCGAAGCGACGATTAAATATGAGACC